TGAGATAATTGTAGATTGACATGCAGTTAGTTGTAAAAACAATACAGAGATCCAGTGTACCCTTTACCCAGTTACATCTTGTCAAACTAGTAAAATATCCCTACCAGGATATTGACATGGAGACATTCTGCAATTCTTACTCACATTTCCTTACTTGGACTAGTATTTGTATGTATTTGTGTGCACTTTTGTTACAGTGTGGGTTTATGTATCCACCAYAGTTGAGATAGAGAAAAGTTCCATCTGTAAGGATCCATCATGTTGTTCTTTTGTGACCACCATCATCTCTGTCTCTCCCACCCACCATCCCTGTTCTCTGATGTTAGTCAGTTTTTGTAGCTGTGATCAAAATACCCAACAAGAAYAACTGAGAGAAGGAAAAGTTTATTTTGGCTCATGGTTCCAGAGGTTTAACCCATGGTTGACCTAGTCCATGGGTCTGGGCGAAGCTAAGGCAGATCATGGTGGAAGGGTGTAGTGGAGGAGTGCTGCTCCGTTCATGACAGCCAGGAAGCAGAGAAAGAGGGGACACTTAATCCCCTCTATTTCCCATCCAGGGGCAATGAACCTTTCCAGGGGATGCCCCCAGTGACCCATCTACTGCTCTGGCTGTACCCTACCTATTACCGCCCAATTAATCCATTGAAACTTGGATGGACTGATGAGGTCACAGCTCTCATAATCTAATAATTTCACCTCTGAACATTTTGCATTAGCACAGGAGCTTAGAGAGACATCGCATGTCTAAACCTTAACACCTGACCAATTAACGTGTTCCCAGTCTCTAATTTTGTCATTTTTTGAGAGGTTTATATAAATGGAATCATAGCATGCAATCTTTTGGGATTGGTGTTTTTTAGTCAGCATGATTTCCTCAAGATTCATCTAAGCTGGGTGTAACAGTAGTCCTAGTAGTACTTCATGATATTGATCTACCATGGTTTGTTTAACCATGAATGAAACCGATGGAGGACATCTAGAATGTTCATGTGCAGGTTTTTTTGTGGACATAAATCTCAGTTTCTCTGGGATAAAGACCCAAGAGCCCTTTTTCATATGGTAATTGCATTTTTAGTGGGTTTTTTTTTTTGTTTGTTTGTTTGTTACATTGTAGCAAAGAAATTGTCTAGATTTTTCCCTTGTTCTGAGACTTTCTATGAGGCTGAATTCAAAGGTGATGGACTAATAAATTAGGCAGAAAAAAATTTCTACTCAGCACACCATTCAGGCAGTGGCACAGATTTTGCTGGTGGGTTTTAGCCAAGTTTACTGTGATAATCAGGAGTGGAAAGCAGAGCAGAAAGACTTGAAAAACTTGCAGTTTGGCCAGAAAAGTATGAGTAAAAGTGAATAATACAGACACTAAAGAAATGCTAAATACTTTAAGCAGAGACAATAAGAAACGTGGTTTATGGGCATCCTAGGAATTGGCAGGACCACACCCTCTCAGGCTCTAGGGAGTAAAAGTAAAAATTCCTTTGAGCAGAAACCCTAGAGGTACCTGATTGCCCAGGGGCACTTTGGAAATTGTTTCACTTTTCTCAGCTGCCCACATTTTTAGTTGTGTAGACCAAATAGAAACAACCAATTTCCTAGAATGGCTGTACCACTTTATATCCCCCAGCAAAGTATGAGTGGTGATCCAGTTATCTGCATCTTCACCAGTGTTTGATGTTGTTACTATTTTTTATCTTAGCTACTTTTCTTTCTTTCTTTCTTTTTTTTTTTTTTTTTTTGGTACCAGGGATTGAAATCAGGGCCACTTAACCACTGAGCCACATTTCCAGCTATTTTTTGTATTTATTTAGAGACAGGGTCTAACTGAGTTACTTAGGGCCTCACTAAATTGCTGAGGCTGGGTTTGAACTCACAGTCCTCCTGCATCAGCCTCCCAAGCTACTGGGATTATAGACATGCGCCATAGTGCCTGGCTTTATTTTAGTTATTCTAACATGTATAATTATGTTTCATTAAGGCTTGAACCTGCATTTCTGAACTTGTTAATAATGTTAAGCATATTTTCATGTAGTTATTTGCCATAATACTCTCTTTGGTGAAATGTCTGTTCGTGTCTTTTGCCCATTTTCTGATTGGATTCTTTCTTAACTGTTGTTTTTTCAGAGACCTTAAGGTAGTCTATATACTAGTCCCTTATCAGATGTTTTGCAAATGTTTCTCTCAGTCTGTAGYTTATCTTTTCATCCTTTTAGCAGGGTCGATTAGAAAACAAAAGTGTTTGTTTGACAAGGTCCCGTTTATTATTTTTTTCCTTCTGTACATTGTACTTTTGATATCAAATCCAAGAAGCACTCACCTAACCCTAGACCCTGATGGCTGTCTGTGTTTTTCTAAAAGTTTTATGATTTCATATTTTATATCTAAGTCTATGATGTCTTTAAAGTTAATTTTTGTAGAAAGTGATAGGTTGAAGTCAAAGCTTCTCTCCACCCCTTATGGGTGTCCATTTGCTCCATCACCATTTCTTTAAAAGCCTGTGCTGATAGTAGAACATTTGCCTAGCTGTGGCAGCCCCTGGGTTTGGTCCCCAATGAGAGAAACTAAAAGCCTGTCATTCTGTCATTGACTTTTGTATCATTTTCAAGATTCACTTGGATACATTTATACAGATTATTTCTCATAGAGTTTTTAAAAAATTTAATATTATAAAGGTAGTTCATGTTCATAATGGATATTTTAGAAGATGTGGAAAAGTAGAAAATGAAAAATCCATAAAGTCTTACTCATCAAAAATAAGCTCTGTTAAATTTTTCCCATCTTTTTTCTTTGTCATTTTATTTTTTGCTGCTGTTCCACATWATTGAACTTTTACTGCATATAAAAAGTTTCTGTCCCGCTTTTTAAAACACCCATCAGAAACACTTGCCATGATATTACAGATGTTTCTTCATTTAATGCTCTTAATAATCCTTTAGTATTCTGTGTATGTTACTTAGGGCTTCATTAAATTGCTGTGTAGCATCTTTTTGCTGTTAAAAATTTAAGTTTTCACATTTTTTTTTAAAGAATTCTTATGTTTAATGTCTTTGCCCGGTAAATGTTTAGGTTCAGTACTGGGTTAAAAGCTTTGGGTTTTTTTTTTAGATTCTTGGTATTTCATTGCACAGTTACTTCTGAAGGAGTTTTAGCCAATTAAATTTCTCCTGTTTCTGTATGCTCTAAATGGTGGCACTTAATTTTTAAGAATTTCCTTAAAGAGATTTTTTAGAAATAGAAAAAGCAGTCATGAAGTTTATTTGGAAAAATAAGAGGCCCAGAATTGCCAAAGCAATCCTTAACAARAAAAGTAATGCAGAAGGCATCATAATACCAGACCTTAAATTATACTGCAGAGCTATAGTAACAAAAACGGCATGATATTGGCACAAAAATATAGAACAGAATAGAAGACACACAGGCTACCCATATAAATACAGTTATCTCATAACTAGACAAAGGCACTATAAACATACATTGGAGAAAAGATAGCCTTTTCAACAAACAATGCTAGGAATACTGGAAATCCATATATAGTAGATTGAAATTAAAGCCCTGGAACTCACCCTGCACAAAACTCAAAGTGAATCACCTTCTAAAAGAAAAAGTAGGCCCAACTCTATCATATCGGCTCAGGAACAGACTTCCTCAATAAGACTCCTAAAGTGCAAGAATTAAAATCAAGAATCAGTAAATGGAATGGCATCAAACTGAAAAGCAAAGGAAACAATCAAGAATATGTACAGAGAGGGCTGGTGTTGTGGCTCAGCAGTAGAGCGATCACCTCACACGTGCAAGACCCTGGGTTCAATCCTCAACACCAYATAAAAATAAATGAATAAAGGTATTGTGTCCAACTACAACTAAAAAATAAGATTAAAAAAAAAGAATATGTACAGAGAGCCTATAGAATGGGAGAAAATCTTTACCACTTGCACCTCAGATAGAGCACTCGTCTCTAGGATATATAAAGAACTCAAAAAACTTTAACACCAAAAAAAAAATAATGCATTCAGTAAATGGGATAAGAAACTGAACAGACACTTCACAGAAGAAGAAATACAAATGGTCAAAAAATATCTGAAAAAATGTTCAACATTAGAGAAATGCAAATTAAAACTATACGGAGATTCCATTTCACTCCAGTCAGAATGGCAATTATCAASAATACAAGCAACAATAAATGTTGGCAAAGGTGTAGGGAAAAAGGTTCATGCATACATTGCTGGTGGGACTGCAAATAGGTGCYACCACTTTGGAAAGCAGTATGGCGATTCCTCAGAAAACTTGGAATGGAACCACCGTGTGCTGCAGTTATTCCACTCCCCAGCATATACCCAAATCAGCATACTGTAGTGAGGCAGCCACATCAATGTTTATAGTAATTCAGTTCACAATAGCCAAACTGTGAACCGTGAACCAACATAGGTGCCCTTCAGCAGATGAATGGATAAAGAAAATGTGGCACATATACACAATGAAATATTACTCAAAGAAGAATGAAATTATGGCATTTACCAGTAAGTGGATACAACTAAAGAATGTCATGCTAAGCGAAATAAGTAAATCCCAAAAAAACAAAGATCAAATGTTCTCATGTGGATGCTAACCCATAACAAGGACATGAAAGGAAGGGAGAGGGGACAGGAATAGGAAAGACAGAATGAATCGGACATAACTTTCCTATACTCATATATGAATATACATCCAGTGTAACTCTATATCATATTCAACCACAATGGGATCAAAACTGTAATGTGTTGTACCCCATATATGTATAAATGTCAAAATAACTCTACTGTCATCATTATCTAAAAACAACAAATAAATAAATTAATTAATAAATTTTAAAAATTAGGCAGAGATGTAACTAAGTAGTAGATTGCTTGCCTAGCATATGAAAGGCCCTGATATTTTGGCACCACCAAAAATAATAATAATATTTMAAAATTATTAACTTCAAACTTTTATTTATGTTTGATGTTATTATTTTTCATCTCAAACAGAAAGCAATAGATCTTGCTAATAAAGCAGCACAAGAAGACAAAGCTGGGAATTATGAGGAAGCCCTTCAACTTTATCAACATGCTGTACAGTATTTTCTCCATGTAATTAAATGTAAGCTAAAAGTTATTTTTTTATTTAAAAACATGCAAAGGAAAAAATTACTCTATTTCATTTATAAAAATTGAAATACAAACTAGAAAATTTTGAACCATGCATTTGCCCCCCCAAACAAGTTCCATTTTCTTTCTAGTAACTATTAAGCACTCAGACTTAACTATCAAAAGTAACAGCTATCATAGTTTTTACTTTGTTTACGCAAACGTCTTAAAATGTCCATATTCAATGGAAACAGCTTTTTATTTTAATTATAGTATGCCCAAATTATATATAATTTGAACTTACTCTGTAAGCATATGCTTGGAAATAATTGTTTTTAAAAAAGGTTGGGAAACATTTTATTCATTTATTTAACAACCTCGTATTGCACGTTGATCATGTGCCAAGCACTCTTCTGGGCACAAGAGATACAATGATGAGAGAAAAGTGGATAAAAACCACTGCTCAGGGGCTGGGGTTGTAGCTCAGCGGCAGAGCGCTTGCCTTGCACATGTGAGGCACTGGATTTGATCCTCAGTACCACATGAAAATAAATAAAGTATTGTGTCCATATCAAAAAAGATCTTTAAAAAAAAAAAAACCACTGCTCTTATGGATCTTACACCTAATGCAGTTGTATACATCAAGGTTGTCTTTTGAGCTTCCCTATTTAATCAAGAGGGCTGATGCCCAATTAAAGTGAAACTAAGAATATAGTACACAAGCTGTATGGGGGCAATTCCTTCTATCACATGTATTGCTGAAGTAGACTTTTGAAACTAGCCCTGACATTCTGATATGTAGTAAAATTACTATTGTTGGTACATATAATATATGAAATTTCCATCACTTTGTATACTCTTTGAAATAAAACTTACATAGACATTAATGGAAATGGCTAATACTGCTTCACTTCTGTTTATCTTTTATTTTTTATTAACATGAATGAATTTTTTTTTTTGTATGTGGTGCTAGGGATTGAACCCAGTGCCTTGTGCATGTGAGGCAAGCACTCTACCTAATGAGCTGTATCCCTAACCCAACATGAATAAATTACATCTCTAATGGGGTTCATTGTGATACTTTAATACACACATAACAGTATGCACTGATCAAATTTAACTCCCCTTTATCCACATACCCCCAACCTCTAACTGCTGTTCTACATTCACATTGTTTTTTTTTTTTTTAATATTTATTTTTTAGTTCTCGGTGGACACAACATCTTTGTTGGTATGTGGTGCTGAGGCTGGAACCTCGCATGCCAGGMGAGCGCGCTACCTCTTGAGCCACATCCCCAGCCCCCACATTGTTTTTCTTACAATTGGTTTTGTGTGAGACAAGCAGCTTTAACTATTTTCAAAATGTAACCTATATAATATCAAATAATTTCTTATTTTTTAACTTAAAATCCCTGTTGTCTTGCTCAGTTCTTTTTTGTATCAAATTCATTGTTTGTCTCCAACCCTTTGGGGGGAAAAATAGAAAAGAATTGATAATCATTGATTAACAGTGAGTTAGAGATGATCTTTTCCCTCTCCCCCAATGTAGAATTCCTTTGTTTAAAGGAATATGTCTTAAGAGTTTTAAAATATTTCTGTACAGAATACTAATGAAAATCTCATTCCTTTCAACAGATGAAGCACAGGGTGATAAAGCCAAGCAGAGTATTAGGGCAAAGTGTACAGAATATCTTGATAGAGCAGAGAAACTGAAGGAATATCTGAAGAAGAAGGAGAAAAAACCACAGAAGCCAGTAAAAGAGGGACAGCCAAGTCCAGCTGATGAGAAGGGGTATGTATTTCAGAGTGTTGGATTCCACTGTGTCTTTTAACTTTTCCTCTATGAAATACATTTCTTTTGTTGCCTGTTTCTATCAGTAAAAGTTTTGTTGGGACACAGCCTTGCCCATTGCTTTACATGTTGTCTTCCAAGGCTGCTCTGATACTGTAAAAACAGAGTCGAGTTTTTGCAATAGAGACTGTGGCTGCAAAACCTGGAATATTTACTGTTTGGTCCTTCAGAGACAAATGTTTCCTGACCCCTGGTTTAAGGGATGATACATCACCTAAGGTGACCCTCCATGACCACTTGCTAGTGATAGGGGAAGACATTTGTAAAAATGGCGTGGAATGACCTGGAATACCCTCTGACCATCATGTAAATATTGAGCGTTAAAGTTATAGGAGTGATGTGTGAGTTAAATCTTTGACCATGTGGACAAAAAGAAAGATAACTTCAGTAATATAAATAATTGTTTGGATATCTTAGGCAAAGTTTTTTGATGTGAATTTGCATTGTATTTGCTTAAATTTCTATTAAATTTGTCATTGTGAAAACAAACAATAACATAATTTATAAAMTTGAAACTAATTATAAGTTATAACCCATTTTATAAATTGCAAAATTATAAATTAAAATCCATGTATAAATTATATAATTTATAAACTTTGAAACCCATTTTTGGAATATCTTCCTAGATAGGAAATACATCACTTATAGAGACAGAATTTATTTATTTGACGTGTAATATATGAATGCCTAGCTCTGTGCTAAGCAGGTGGAACATCTTCTAACCAGATCCTCTTTGACTATTTTGCTGATTGGTGCCASAAGTGGTTCTAGGTGACACACTCTTAGGAGAAGAATGCTCTTTGCTGGGATGATTGGGACTGGTTGGGGTGAAAGCAGCAAGATTTTGGTGAGCTTTAGAGGATATCATACAGTTGATGTTCGTAGTGGCACAGGTCCCTAGATAATCCCTGCAGTTACAAGGAATGAAAGTAACAGTGCTTTAGAGACTTTGTGGCTTCTAATGTAGACCATTTTGAAGAACATGAGGATATAAGAACTAAACCTGATTGGCTGTTTCAAACTCCATAGCAGGAAATTGGAGGTTTAAAGTTTTATATTCTCCGTTGACATGGTTAGGGAACCAGGGCAGGAATTTTCTGTGACACCGGAGAATATTTTATCTTCTGCATCCACAGTATTAACAGAACAAAACTCAGATCATGATTTCATTTTGGGAATTRTTGAATTTTTACTTGGTGTTTCTTACATGAATGAGCATTAATGTAAGGCAGGAACTCCAACTTGAAATTAAAATACTGGGAAAAATTCAGTGCCCAGAGCCTCCAACTCTCACTGAGACTCTCTTGCCTACAGAAATATTTTGTCTTCCTCTGTCTATTGAGGCTCTTCCAGTCTTGTTTGAAGACCCTGTAATCATCTCTCTTGTACTGGTTATTGAGGGGTGCCAGTTTTTATCCTATAATAAACAGTAGGACTCAMTTTGGCTAATTTAAACAAAAAGAGATTTGTTGCTGGCTATTGCCTTATAGAAATCTGAGAGTCTGAGAATAAAGCATAGATGCCATATCACTAGGAGAGGTACCCATTATGCCATGTGAGGACATGTAGTTATGAATTCATGTGTATGTAGATACGTCATGTTCAGATCCCACTGCTGCCGGTTCCCTGCCAAGTGCTGCCAAGGCTTGGAAGCACACAGTAAGACCTCTGCCACACTTCCTCAGTAAAACCAGTGCTTCCGTCTGAAGATTTGGTCTCCATGGAAGCAACTTCCACCTTCTTAGAGGAACTTGGGTCTCATGTGGAACCCTACCTGTAAGGGAGCCTACAAAGGGCAGTTTTTTAAATAAGTACAACTTTACAGTAGAAAGCATGATGAGGGTGGTTGAAGTGAGAGTTGCGTGAATCATTCCTATCTCACCCATAACCCTACCTAACCAAGGCAATCCCATTTTGGCATAAAACCTGTCAGAATTTTCATTTCCTTTATATTTTTTAAAATGTGATAATGCCAGATGAGTGTGGTGGCACATGCCTATAATACCAACTACTTGGGAGGCCGAGGCAGGAGGATTGCAAGTTTGAGACCAACCTGGGAAACAGAGCAAGATCCTGTCTTAAAATAAAATAATAAAAAGGGTTGGGAATGTAGTGCAGTGGTAGATTCCCCTGGGTTCAATCCCCAGTATTGAAAAATATATATATATAATGCCCTGTTTTGTTTTGTGACTTTTTCACTCAACATTGTATCAGGAATATCTTTCTTACAAGCTATTTCTTCAACATCATTTTTAAAGGTTGCAATGTGTTCTATCATATACTAATTGCTATAATTTAAGTTGCCAGACCAGGTGTGGAGCACACCTGTAATCCCAGGAGCTCGGGAGGCTGACAGGAGGGTCACAGGTTCAAAGCCAGCCTTAGCAAATTAGCAAGGCACTGTCTCAAAATAAAAAAAAATAAAAAGGGCTGGGGATGTGGTTCTGCAGTTAAATACCCCTGGGTTCAATCCCCAGTACAAAAAAAATAAGATAAAAAGTCATTTTAAATTCCTATATGTGAACTGCTGAGTTGCCCATTGTTCTTTGGGTTCAGTTAATTTTCATCAAGAAACCTCACTCATTCTTTGTAATTCTTAGACTAAGGGTCATAGATCTTGTACCTTAGATAATTAGTATTCTGGGTTTTTTCTCCCTAGAACTAATTCTTGTTCCAAGTCATATTTTGCCTGGTCCTGATGTTTTATTGTTATTTGCAACTCCTTCTCTGTAATATATCTTAAATTCTTTGTGGAATAATGTGTGGAGCATGCATTTATTATTCATACATATATAAGTATATCATGGAAATTTGGAGATAGTTCTTGACTTCATTGTAGTCTTTTTGTTCCTTCCCTGTTTATGCCTCCCTCTTAATTGATAATATACCTGCCTCTTATTTAATATAATATTAAGAGTAATAAAGTAAACATAACTTTAAATGTGAATGTCTTATTTTGCCATTTAAGTTGCAAATATTTCAGGTTATTATTCCTTCATTTTTGCATTATTTGATGGAAGTGAGTGGTCATTTGAATGTATTAAATTCTTTTTATTAGGAATGACAGTGATGGGGAAGGAGAATCTGATGATCCTGAAAAAAAGAAACTACAGAATCAACTTCAAGGTTGCTTTAGATTTTATTATTAAACTTACTGTCTTCTTGAAAAGACTCATGGTGAATTGTGCATTTGAATTGTTTTTTTTTCCTTTCCCTCTATATTTAAATGAGGTTAAACTGTCATTTATGAGGTATAAAGAATTGAATAACTGTCTTTAACATGTGATAACGGTGTTCCCAGTTATCACATGTTGGCTTTGTTTAAAGTGTTTTTTATATGGTTTGCCCTCAGTGGTTTGATATAGTTTTTTTTTTCCCCCCATGGAGTAAAAATATTGCTTGTTTTATATCTGCCTTTAAAAGGCTATCAATCAATTTATTCTTTTTCATTTGCCCCCTTGTAGAGAAGATAGTATTTATAATATTAGCACACTGCAAAATTTGAAGGCATTAAAATTTTGCTATTGTCTGAGAAAAAGAAAGAATTAGGAATTACAATTGGTTTTTATTGCCATTTCTTTGATTTGAAGATGGTTTATTTTGTGTTTCCTACTTGCTCTTCCTCATCTGCTTTTCATTGATCCTATTTACATGTATCTCTGTATATTTCTCTTTTAACTGTTTTACATGCCACACCTACATAAGCCCATTTCATTCCATTCTGTAGTGAAGTACAGTGGCATAATGGAAAGAGATTGGGTTCAGATCTGAATTCCACCTCAAACTTGATCACTTAAAAGCTCTCTAATTGTGGGAAAGTTTCTTAACCTCTGAGTCAGGGTCCCCATCTCTAAAATGGAAATTTATAATATTTTCTTTTCATGGAAGGAAAATAAATGACCGTAAATACATCATAATATTTTATATGACAAAATTTAGGGACTTGATAAATGGTAGCACTGTGTATGTAAAAAGGCATCTATTTAATTGTTGGCCTTCTAAACTGCTAAAATGTGATTGTTCTTTGATATGTTAGTTAATGTTTTTTTCAAATTTAATTTTAAGCCCAATTGTTGGTAGTATGTATTTGTTTGTTTGAATCTTTTGAAATAGAATAAATGACAGGGAATAACTTTCATGATGCCGGCTCAGCCTTGGTTATTGAATAGTGAATATACCTAGCTTAACCAGACTTTTAGCCTTGCTGTACTAATCTCCATTTGGCCCATGTTTCTGTCTTACACATTCCAGCAACATGTGTTGGAGAACACTTAGGATAGTACCTTGAAAGCAGAACAGTTGRTGAGGACAGCTTTATGGAGAGAGAATCCACTGTGCATCCCACTGCCTGAAGCTGTGCTGTGTACACTGCATGTTAGCATTTATTAGGTTGTCCAGTGTTCTGTGACATGTGACCTTATTTCAGTTGTAAAGCAAGACAGTTTTTTCTGTCTGCTTTATTGGTTTTGGTTTAGTTTCCCCTCTACTCCCTGGCCCCCTGCTCCTCACAAGAGAAAATCTAAAAAAGATGTAACCTTTGGCTGGGGCTGTAGCTCAGTGGTAGAGCGCCTGCCTCACACATGTGAGGCACTGGGTTTGATCCTCAGCACTACGAAAAAATAAATAAAGATATTGTGTCCATCTACAACTAAAAAAATACTTAAAAAGATGTAACCACTTTTTAATAGATATTTCTGTAAATTCTCTGACAGTTATAAGCATGAGAGATTTGAAAAAAAATACAAATGGTTAAAACATGTGAATGAGGAGATTTATTTGGAATGTCAGGATGAAATAAAATAAGAAAGGAGCCTCAGCCTTTCATTTATAATGTATAAAGTTTTTGCCACATTTTAATTTAATGATTTGGTAAGGGATTTTATAGTATAATATCCTTTTTCTAAATCATCTTTTTCCTGAAATAAATCTTGTATTTCTGCTTTAAATTATGACATTATGTGTAATATATGGTTGTCAGAATTAAAAACAGGCTTATGATTTTTGTTACCTAACTTTAGTGACTTTTGAGGTTGAATAATGTTTTGATGTATGCATAATATAATCAAAGATTGGATAAATTTATGTAATAAGGTATATTCAATTATTTATATTCTTCAATTAATCCCACCTCCCCTTTTTAGGTTTTTTTTTTTTTTTTTTTTTTAGTTGCAGATGGACACAATACCTTTATTTTGCTTATTTATTTTTATGTGGTACTGAGGATTGAATCCAGAGTCTCACACATGCAAGGCAAGCACTCTACCGCTGAGCTACAACCCCAGTCCCCCCCTTTTTAGTTTTACAAACCATTAACTCTTGATATATATGTTTTCATCAGTAAACATTCTAAAGTCACCTTTAAATTTTGAGGACAAAGGTATTAATTAAATGTGAAAGTAAGYTTTTCRTATTTTTAAAATTGCACAAAATCTTAGTTAGCTAGATGATTCACATATATAAAGTAAATTTGCTTTTGTATAACATAAAATCTTATTATATGATGTAGGTATTTTCTTCTGTGGAATTACTAATCTTAGTGGAGCATGAAAGAAAAAGTGAAGCTTTATATGCAGAAGTGTTTATGATTTCATTTAATTTTAGTCTGACAAAGATTTTCATAATTAGGAAAGTTGCCAAATGGTCTTAGAATAATAGTTAATATTTTCTAACAAGCAGAAATGACTTATGAAACTAATTCCCTAACCAGTAAATTGTGTAAGTGATAGTGTTTTCTTATACTTAAAACAACTATATGTCATCTTAGAACAGGCTGCTTAGTAAAAAGTGTAGAGTTGAGCAATTTCTATAAACTAGAAAATTGGAAAAGCTTTTGATGAAAGATAACTAGAAAATTTTGCCAGTAAACTGTATTAAAAGGTCTTCTTGGAGTCTTCCTGCAACAGTTGCTATGGCTTTTGAATATATTGCATTCAGCAAATAAAATTATTCAAGTAACTTTGTTAATTTACAAAAATTATAACTAGGTCTATTTAGAAGCCACATGTGAAATCTCAGAAAAGTACTGTGGATCTATAAAGATACACATTCTCTTTTCCATCATCCACTTCTGCTTCCATTCCATCCCTTTCTGTCCTCCTTTCCTTCTCCCTTCTGTTAGTCTTCAGTTAAAGTTATTAAGTGTATTTTTCTCTCTGTGGTTGAAGAGAACATTAGATCACTTCTCTTTTGGTTCATGAGAAATAGTAAATCAACCCCCATTGAACCAAGTACACTTGATGCTCCAGAAATAATGTAGTCAAATATTATAACCACTTTATGTGGTGTTTGGTGCTTTTCCAAACACTCTTAATATTCATTGTCACTTGATTCTTACACTAACCTAAGAATTTTAGGTTACACTAACCTAAGTTGGGCAGGTAGTATTATTTCAACAAATAAGGAAGCAGAAGTAGATAAGTGTCCTACCCTAGGTTATCTAGCCACTTACCCAGGTTTCTTACTCCTGCTGACTACTCCCAACAGTTACTACTTTTTCATTCCATTTTTAAAGAGTCATGACATTCTTTCATAGATGAAGGTTTTTTCCCATCTTTTAATTTAATGGTTTGCTGATAAATTTCATAGTATAATATTTTTTGAATCTTTTTTCTTCTTTTTTCCTGAAATAATATTTTAAATCTTTTTCTTTTTAGTTTATGACATTGAGTATATGATTTTATAGTTTTTAGTACACAGAACTTTTTCAGACAGATATATAATGCATTTCTTTTAACATTATTTCATGCTATTTTCCAGCTTTGATAAGATTAATTTAAAGATGACATAATTTTGTAGGTGCCATTGTTATAGAGCGACCAAATGTGAACTGGAGTGATGTTGCTGGTCTTGAAGGAGCAAAAGAAGCACTTAAAGAGGCTGTGATATTGCCGATTAAATTTCCTCATCTTTTTACAGGTGAGATGACTTTTAATTAAATTTTATCTGGCRATTTTTTTTTAAAAGAAGGCATTAGTGACTAAGGTATAAAAAACATTGTGAATTCTTGTCACCATATCATGAATTTTTATCTTAAATTCTGATAGTTATACRGCAGTGATACATGTATACACAAAGATGTTTTATTTCTTATATGTAACTATGCTTAAGGAGAACAATCTATATATCAATCAATAGGGCAAAAGGCAAATTACTAACATTCAGTGGAATACAATTCACTAAAATATAGTGTATATCTGTTAATAAATTTAAATCTGTACTATAATTAATTGAAGGATGTCTACATCTATAAGATCAAAAAACAAGTTATAAAATGCATATAGTATGGTTCCTTGTTTATTAAATAAATGGGTATGCTAAGAAGTGGTTGACTTTATGTTTGCTAATGAGGTAAAATTATAGATGATTTTTACATTTTGTTTTGTCTTTCATCTGAATTTTTTGCAATAGTCATGCTTTAGTTTTTAAAGAGTATTTCCATTTCTTAAAAAGTGAAGAATTAACTTCACAGCTTCAGGTGAAGTACATATCCTCTAGGGACAAAGGGACAGTTCATTATCAGAGTGTTGCTTAGCCACCATCTGGAGAAAACTCAAGCTCTGGCTCAGGTAGTCAGTGTCCTGTCTGTGCTAACCTTGCCTTCAGATCATCCCTTTTGTGACTGATGACCTGTGTCTATGATATGGCTACACCCACAGTCCAACGTCTAGCAGAGGTGTTTCCTTTTGAAAACAAGCTGGTTTATATAGAAAGCAAATCTGTGATGTTGGCCTCAAACTGAACAGGTCCAGACAGTGAAGTCGCATAGAGCAGTGATGAAGAAAGCAAAGCACCTGTGGGCCTCGCGTTGTCCACCTAGCTTCGGGGTGCACCTTACAGCCTAACTTCAGGAACACGAGACACACAGTATAAGTTGGCAACATAGTGCTATAAAGGTACAAAATTGTGGTTGAAGTCATTTTCTGTTATGTTACTTTGCCAGTGTTGCCCAAACGTGAGTCATTTGTGTATCATCTTCATGAATTTTTCCATGTATGTGTATCATTATTATTTTAAAAATATTTTTTTTAAATTGCTCACTTTTTAGAACAAGCTTTTTATTAAAGTATGACATAAATACAGAGAGACATGAAGGAACCCGTAAGTGTTCAGCTTCTTTAATTATCACAAAGTTAGTATGCCTATGTACTCATTCCCAGCATGAGAAATGTTATATTGTCAGTAGCTCAGTGTTTGCCCTCTGCTTCTGTCCTCTCCAGAGGTCAGCAGTCTCTCTTGACTTTTAATAGTATAGACTACTTTGTCTGTATTTGAACTTTAAATCACCTTACTTACTTTTGCTGAGTGACATTAAAGACGTTTCTGTCTACTATAAATGAAAAAAAGTATCTAACACATTAAAAAGATAATTATATTTAAAAAGTATTTGTATACCACTGTGCAGTATTTCATCTGATATCAGTGGTATTTGTGCTCTGGTCAGGGAACACTTGACTAATTTTCGTATATTGAAAAGAGGAAACCTGGCATGGTGGCGCATGTCTATAACTCCAGCAACTCAGGAGTCTGAGGCAGGAAGATCACAAGTTTGAGACCAGCCTCCATAATTTAGTGAGACCCTGTCTCAAAATAAATAAAAAGGGCTGAGGATGTAGCTCAATGATAAAGCACCCCTGGGTTTATTCCCAGAACCACCAAAAAAAAAAAAAAAAAAAAAAAGGAAAATAGAATTCAAGTAAAAACTAAGTTTTTTATAACAAAGATAATAATATTTAGGGGGTTTTGTTTTTAATGCTGAGATTGAGCCCAGGGGTATCTTACTGCTGTGCTATATCCCTAGTCCTATTGGTTTTTTTTTTTTTTTATTTAGAGAAAGGGTGTCACTAAGTTGTCAAGGCTGGTCTTGAACTTGTTATTCTTCCACCTCATCCTCCCAAATAATGTTTACATTTTGTTAGTGATCTACACATCATTCTGGTAGACACTGTGTGTCCATCCACGTTTGTATACCTAGTAGTATTTTAATGTGTATTTGATATTTTATTGCCAGCTATAACAGCTTGGTTTACTTTAGGCAGCATTGTAATTTCTTATTAGYAAAATTGAAGCACAAAGATTGATTTGTTCCCTTGTTACATTGTAACGAAACTAGGTTTAAAATTAGAGCTCCCATATCATTCTCCAACCACCAGTTATAATACCTATCTTACCTTCCCTATGGATTCAAAAATTCAGCAAAACTTTGAAATCATCTAAACTGTTAGGTTCATTACTCCAAAGGTCATACATATTTTTAAAAAATTCTTTCCAGCTGCCCTTCCTTTATGGATGCAGTTTCCTGCAATATCTAGGTGCTGAGCAGTGCACACAGCAGATAGTCAGAAAATGACCTCTAGCCGGACTCTCTTCCCCACTAGACTTGAAGCCTGCATAGGTAGAGATCCTTCTGTCTTGCACATGCTGATTTTCAGTACATATTGGTCAAATGAATGAGCAATCAAATGACATTCTTACTAGGTTTATATTAGTGTAAATACACTTTTGACAAAGTAGTCTCTAGAAAAAGCAAATGCATTTAGGACACACTTACGTCAGATTGATTTATTTTAAAATACCTTTTTATGCTTACAAGTTTAGAGTGAAAACCTTTTCACATCATCTTCAGTATAAGTATTGTCTATAGTAACTGAGTAACGGTCTTGGAATTCTCACATTATTTTTCTAATCAAATTTTAGGCAAAAGGACCCCTTGGAGAGGAATCCTATTATTTGGCCCACCTGGAACAGGAAAATCCTATTTAGCCAAAGCTGTAGCAACAGAAGCAAACAACTCAACATTTTTTTCAATATCTTCCTCTGACCTTGTTTCTAAGTGGCTAGGTGAAAGTGAAAAGTAAGTAGTAAATCAAGTTTTTTTAGTTTTTTCTTTGCCTCTTAGTTACTATATCAATCTGTAAAATTATATCATTAGTAGATATTCAGAGAAGCAACATAATGTAGTGGTCAGCTGGGCAYGGTGGYACATGCCTGTAATCCCAGCCACTGGGGAGGCTGAGTCAGGAGGATTGCAAGTTCAGTGTCAGCCACAGCAAAAACGAGGCACTAAGCAACTCAGTGAGACCCTGTCTCTAAGTAAAATATAAAATAGGGATGGGTTTGTGGCTGAATGGTTGAATATCCCTGAGTTCGATCCCCAGTGCCCCCTCCAACAGAAAAAGAGTTAGTCTCATAATGCATCATTCCATAATTAAGAATTATCAGAAAAAGTGATTAGTAAAAATTGTAAAATGAATTATCTAGCTATTGCATTCTTGTAGCATTGGTATATTGCTTTGCTTTAGTCTCATATTAGTTTTTTAGATTCTGAAAATTTTTGTTTTTAGACTAGTTAAGAACTTATTCCAGCTTGCCAGAGAGAACAAGCCTTCTATTATTTTYATTGATGAAATTGACTCTCTCTGCGGTTCAAGAAGTGAAAATGAAAGTGAAGCTGCACGAAGAATTAAGACTGAGTTCCTGGTTCAAATGCAAGGTAGTAATGCTGATTTTCAAAATAGCTTCTGTCTATTATATAACCATTATTAGAACAACAGTGGGCAATAAATTTAAGTAGAATTTCTTCTTTCTAACATTCTTTCATTATGCCATATTTCATTCTGATTGTTTTCATATGCATACATAATTTTTAACCAGTTGTAATTATCTTATAGGACTCAATTAATTGAAATAGCAGATAATAATGTATACACTTATACCAGGAACAATATCAGTCAAGGAAATATTTTGGAAAGAATATAAATGCCTAAGTCTTTGTTCCATTTATGTGGTGCTGAGGATTGAACCCAGGGCCTCGCATGTGCTAGGCAAGTGCTCTACCACTGAGCCACAATCCCAGCCCTTGAGTTTTGTGCATGGTGAGAGATAGGGGTTTAATTTTATTTTGTTATATATGGATTTCCAGTTTTCCCAGCACCATTTGTTGAAGAGGCTATCTTTTCTCCAATGCATGTTTTTGGCATCTTTGTCTAATATAAGATAATTGTAATTTTGTGGGTTAGTCTCTCTATCTTCTATTCAGTACCATTGGTCTACCAGTCTGTTTTGGTGCCAATATCATGCTGTTTTTGTTACTATTACTCTATAGTATAGTATAAGATCTGGCAGAGACCCTGTATCTAATAGAAGAAAAAGTAGGCCCTAATCTCCATCATGTGGGATTAGGCCCAACTTCCTAATAAGACTCCTTTGGCATAAGAATTAAAATCAAGAATCAGTAAATGAGATGGACTCAAACTAAAAAGTTTCTTCTCAGCAGAAGAAACAATCTGGGGCTGGGGATGTGGCTCAAGTGGTAGTGTGCTCGCCTGGCATGCGTGCGGCCCGGGTTCGATTCTCAGCACCACATAGAAACAAAGATGTTGTGTCTGCCAAAAACTAAAAATAAATATTTTTTAAAAATTCTCATCCTCCCCCTCCCTCCCTCCCCCCCCTCTGTGTGTGTGTCTCTCTCTTTAAAAAAAAAAAAAAAGAAGAATCTGTGAGGTGAATAGAGAGCCTGTATCTTGGGAGCAAATCTTTACCCCTCACACATCAGATAGAGAACTAATCTCTAGGGTATATAAAGAACTCAAAAAGTTAAACACCAAAAAATGAATAACCCAACAATAAATGGGCCAAAGACCTGAACAGACACTTCTCAGAAGATGATATACAATCAGTCAACAAATATATGAAAAAATGTTCATCATCACTAGCGTTTAGAGAAATGCAAATCAAAACCACTCTAAGATTTCATGTCACTCCAGTTAGAATGGCAGCTATTATGAATATAGACAACAATAAGTATTGGCAAGGATATGGGGAAAAAGGTACACTCACACACTGCTGGAGGGACTGCAAATTGGTGCAACCAATATGGAAAGCAGTATGGAGATTTCTTGGAAAATTGGGAATGGAACCACCATTTGACCCAGATATCCCTCTCCTCAGTCTATACCCAAAGCACATAAAAACAGCAAACTACAGGGACACAGCCACATCAATGTTTATAGCAGCACAGTTCACAATAGCTAAACTGTGGAACCAACCTAGAGGCCCTTCAATAGAGGAATGGATAAAAAAAAAAATGTGGCATATATACACAATGGAATATTACTCAGCAATAAAAGAGAATAAAATCATGGCATTTGCAGGTAGGTGGATGGAGTTAGAGAAGATAATGCTAAGTGAAGTTAGCCAATCCCAAAAAACCAAAGGCCGAATGTTTTCYTTGATATAAGGAGGCTGATTCATAGTGGGATAGGGAGAGGGATCATGGGAGGAATAGATGAACTCTAGATAGGGCAGAGGGGTTGGAGGGGAAGGGAGGGGGCACGGGATTATAAATGATGATGGAATGTGATGATCATTATTATTCAAATTACATGATTGAAGACACGATTTGGTTTGAATATATTTTGTATACAACCAGAGATATGAAAAATTGTGCTGTATATGTGTAATAAGAATTTTAATGTGGGCTGGGGATGTGGCTCAAGCGGTAGCGCGCTCGCCTGGTATGTGTGCGGCCCGGGTTCGATCCTCAGCACCACATACCAACAAAGATGTTGTGTCCGCCGAGAACTAAACAATAAATATTWAAAAAAAAAAAAAAAAGAATTTTAATGCATTCGCTGTCATACATAAATTTTTAAAAAGTGGGAGAAATTAACAAAACAAAAAAGGAAAAGTATTCATCTGTAATCTAGGAGGTTTGATTTTTGGGAATATTTGCATTATATTATACTAATATGACATTTGATTGAGCATAGATGGTTTTTCAGAGAGACTCAAGATGTGGCACTTCAATGCTGAATCACTACATTTCTTAACAGAACATACAGACAGTTTTTTAAAAACACCATAATGACCCAATTAGTTAAAATATTACCTATTTTAATACAGGGGTTGGTGTGGACAATGATGGAATTTTGGTTCTGGGAGCTACAAATATACCCTGGGTTCTGGATTCTGCCATTCGACGAAGGTATGACATTCAGTGAAAATCCTTCATATAAAATCTTTATATAATGATTATTATACAAGTACAAATAACATAAGTAGATTTTTTAGTAAAAGAAAAATTAAGTCAGTAATTGTTAAGTTGAATATGAAAATTCAGTTATAGGGAAGGTAGGAAGACTTCACTTTTYACTGCTTCATAACTCCCTTGAATTTAATTGTGCATGGTAAAAAAAAAAAAAAGAGCACTTCAGTCCTTGCCACATTTATCCCATTCATGGTTTGATTTGCCAATATGCTAGATTACCAGTCAGTACCAAGAAAGGAAATATGTTAGGTACTTTTGAAAAATAGCCTGATTCCAAACCCATCTCTAAAAGTAACTTTTAAAAGTAACTTTTAAAATCTCATAGCCATGGAGAGTTACCTAAAGGAGAAAAGTCTACAAAGACCAATTAAGTTGTCCTTCATCACTTTCTCCCTATCTCCAAATACTGAAATTCTAAGTATGCAAAATGACTATTAATAAAAGCATAGTATTTGTTATTTATGATATAAGATTTTTGAATATACTCATTATAATAAAGCAGACATGTTATATAATGTTTATTCTGTAAGAGTTTGACTAATTTTACTATTTTAAATTTAGAAAATTGTTATCTCTGTTTTATTATGCATTAATTCTTTGATCAAGAGATCAAAGAACAATTTTTTTAGAAATATTATTCTGTAGGATATATCTTTTTAGGTCATGAATTCCAGGCATATAATAAGCCTGGTGCAGTGGCACACACCTGTAATCCCAGCAGTTCCAGAGGCTGAGTCAGGAGGATTGCAAGTTAAACGCCAGCCTCAGAAACTTAGCCTGTCCCAAAAATAAAAAGTACTGGCAATATACTTCAGTGGTAAAGAGCCCCTGTGTTCAATCCCCAGTATACAAAATCAGTGAATTCCAGGCATGTAAACATTATGGCCAAAATTACCCAAAAATTGTATGAGAAAGATTCCAAACTGGTTTCCTAGCTATTTTACTTTTACTTTGTTTTTTTAAATGTGTCCTTTATTTAACCTAAATGCATGTTTAAGTCTGGCACATTGTTCCAGTTAGTATAACTGAGAATGTTAAATATCTGTTTCTTCTTGAAAAAACCCTAATTTTCAGTTAAAATTAGTATATGTTTTAATATCCTTGATATTATTTTTTTTAAGATTTGAGAAACGAATTTATATTCCTTTGCCGGAAGCCCATGCCCGAGCAGCAATGTTTAAACTACACTTGGGCACCACTCAAAATAGCCTTTCGGAAGCTGACTTCCGAGATCTTGGGAAGAAAACCGAAGGCTACTCAGGAGCAGATATAAGCGTCATTGTACGTGATGCACTTATGCAACCTGTTAGAAAAGTGCAGTCAGCTACGCATTTCAAAAAGGTAAATAACTTTTCATGTATTTTATAAGTGAAGTTTCAAGACCATCATTAGTTTGTCTTCAGAGGAGTTAGAGTTCAGTGTTGTATAATAATATAATAATTGGGTTTATAGAATAGACTTTTTTTGTTGTGTTGAAAATAAGTTCTCCAATAAAGTTTATTAATAACCATGGATAGGGCTGGGGATGTGGCTCAAGCGGTAGCGCGCTCGCCTGGCATGCATGTGGCCCAGGTTCGATCCTCAGCACCACATACAAACAAAGATGTTGTGTCCGCCGATAACTAAAAAATAAATATTAAAATTTWWAAAAAAATAACCATGGATAGTCCTAAAGTGACTTAAGATTTTCTAAGTAATAACTTGAAATTTCTCCATATAATTTAGACATAGGTGTACAAATTTATATAGTTGTAAGGCTGCTGCTGATGTAGCTAGAAAAACCTTGAGCAGAATTGGTACATTTATACCTGAAGAACAATAATACAAGCTCATGTCTATTAGATATTCCCATTGTCTGGCACTGCACTCTATTCTTATTATTTCATTTGGTCCTCACAAAAACAAAGAGGTGCACATAGCCATTCATCTGTTACTTGGATCTAACACAGTTTGTCTAATGTATTACAACCAAAATGGGGCAGAGGTGTGATCTGTTTCTAAGTATAAAGTGTACTGAAATCACAACCATTTTGCTGTCCTGCCATGCACTTTTCTACCTGCTTGAGGAAGTTGGAGCATAGATGGCTAAGAAAACAGTGTTGTAAAAAGACCTGGTCTTGAGATCCTGACTTAAGTAACAGTGGACTAGGTAACTCAGTCCAGCCATCTTGAGGCTTGAGGGTAGTAATATCTAGTGTTACTCATAGTAGTATATGTGACAGTTTATATATGTGTGTGTGTGTGTGTGTGTGTGTGTATAAATAAACTATTAGAAAAGTAATCACACAGTATATAAGACCAATATACCATACTAAAGTTTTTCTTTTTAAAGTTAGAGCTTGAATTAAAATTTTAACTTAAAGCCAGGAATCATGGTTTACCTATTTAAGTCTCATTTATCTAAAATGGAGATAAACATTGAAGTGCTGTTGTGAGAATAAAATGAAATAATATTCATAAAACACTGTTTGTGCTACCTATTTATCTTCTTCAGCCATTTCTTTACCAAGAAATATAGTAAGCTCAGGATTAAGTTGATGCCACAGCCATTATATTTCTTTTAAATTCTCTTTGACATTTGGAAACAATAAATTTTTATCCARAATTTATCACTCCATTTTATGTCTTAACTACCAGGGTCAGGACATATAACCATGAAGAAAGGTCCTTGTTGGTAGCATAAAAGTGAAGCACCCAGATTGGTTTTAACACTGGGGCTTTGGATCACCAACTACAGTAGATATCTCTGTGGCTCCATATTTTCCACTGGGTTCCCCCCACTTGGTTCTTTTTTTAACATTCGGATTCATTTTAACATTATTATAAAGGCATGGAATATAAATTGCTCTAATTCAGTCCCCAGTACTCCCCCTTTCCCTTGYCTCCCCCACCCTCCACTGCCTAGTTCTCTTTCCTTTGCTCTACTGATCTTTGTGCTATGTACTTAACGGGTTGTTGGGTTTTTGTTTTTGTTTTTATTGTTTGTGTATTTTTAGTTAGTGTCTTATGGACATACATGATGGTGAGATTCACTGTGGTATATTTATATATGTACATAAGAAAGTTAATTTAGATTCATTCCACTTACCTGGTCCCTGCCCGCCTGCAATCTAGTCCACTGATTTTTTTTTTTAACTCCCCCAAACCTCTCCCCACCCCCCACCGCTACCTTWTTTTAAACTAGTTTCTACGTGGCAGAGAAAACATTCAACCTTTGACTTTTTGGGTCTGGCTTATTTTACTTAGCATGACAGTCTCCAGTTCTATTTATTTACCAACAAATTCCATAATTTCATTATTCTTTATAGCTGAGTAATATTCCAATATGTATATRTACCACATTTTCTTTATCTAATCATCTGTTGAAGGGCATCTAGGTTAGTTCCATAGCTTGGCTATTATAAATTTTGCTGCTATAAACATTAATGTGGCTGTATCCCTGAAGTATGCTGACTTTAGATCTTTTGGATATATATATCAAGGAGTAGGACAGCTGGGTCATATGGTGGTTCCAGTCCTACTTTTTTGAGGAATCTTCCACAAGCTTTCCAGAGTGGTTGCACTAATTTGCAGTCCCACCAACAATATATGAGTATACTTTTTCCCCCACATCCTCACTAACACTTGTTATTATTTGTATTCTTGATAATTGCTAGTCAGACTGAAGTGAGATCAGTGTAGTTTTGATTTGCATTTACCTAACTGCTACTGATGCTAAAGATTTTTTCATATATTTCTTGGCCATCATTTTCTCTGTTTTTAAGGCTAACTATTTCAATTAGCAAGAATTGGTTTGCCCTTTTATTAATTTACTTAATCATATGTCTAAAGTGTAAATCTGGGCTCAGAGTTAGAAGAAGGTACAGCAGCTGAAAAGGAAAAATACTTCTGACTTCATGCAGCTGAAATTTGGAAAAGGAAAGATAGACAGTCGAATATACATAAGTAAACTGAGAATGCGTATTTCTCCGCACCTGCACCAATCCTAAAATAATACTTAAAAGTTGATCATGATAAGACATACATGAAAGCAACCCCAATTTGATGCAAATCTATTGCTATCTGAATAGTTTCATGTGACTCTATGTCACAATGGTTCATTTTCTGGATATTGTTAAAATTTTATTTTAACAAGTTATGTATCAGAAATTGTTAGCATTTGATTTTGTACTTATATTTGGAAAAGGTTTTGTTAAAAGAGACAAAAGATTCAGTAATTTCAGACTGAAGAAGTCAAGAAAAAAATTTAAATCAGCCAAAATCTGTCCTAAAGTAAAAATTTTAATGCAACATAAAAAAATATTAATACACTTTTAGTTTTCCTGTTAGTGACCTAAGTCTTGATTTTTATTTAATTTGTTCAAGTAAATGTTTCAATTGGTGGTTTCTTACAGGTTCGTGGACCTTCCCAAGCTGATCCTAACAGCATTGTAGATGATCTGCTGACACCGTGCTCTCCAGGCGATCCCGGTGCCATTGAAATGACATGGATGGATGTCCCTGGAGATAAACTTCTGGAACCAGTTGTTTCCATGGTTTGAAATTTTATTTGTTCTTAAGAAATATTTTAAAACATTATATTGTATAAAATTTGCTAGAAATGTTAGTATGTTTAAGCTCGTTTACTTAATACTATTATAAAAATTATAAAGATAATTTACGTTTTTTGGTTTTGTTTTTTTGGTACTGGATATTGAACTCAGAGGCACTTAACCACTGAGCCACATCCCCAGCCCTTTTTTAAAAMATATTTTATTTTGAGATAGGGTCTGACTGAGTTGCTCAGGCCTTGCTAAGTTGCCGAGGCTGGCTTTGAACTCAAATCCTCCTGCCTCAGCCTCCCGAGCTGCTCGGATTACAGGCCTGTGCCACCACGATCGGCAATAATCGACCTTAATCAAACTTAAAATATAAAAATGATTATCTTTAAAATATTTTCTTGGGACATGAACTTTAAGTGAAAAAGCTGCTTTTTTTTTTTTTTTTTTTTTTGAAAAAGCTGCTTTTTGTTTGTTTTGTTTCGGTACTGAGGATTGAATTCAGGAATGCTTTACCACTGAGCTAAATGCCCCCAGCTCTTTTGGTTTTTTAATTTGAAAGGGAGTCTCGCTGAGATGCCCATGCAGGCCTCTAACTTGAGATTCTCTTGCCTCAGCCTGCTTAGTCTCTAGGATCATAGTCACTTGGGTTATGCTGTGGGCAAAAAGCCTACTTTTAAAACTACAGTTCTCTGATTTTATAGGTCTTAAAGCTGGATCATCCCCCAAAAAGCTCATATATAGTATATAAATTATTTTTAAGACTCACATTTTTCAAAATAACCAGAAATGTTAATTATAGTATTTATAATGGGTATTTTTCTGTTTTACTTCTCAAGGCTCCATGAGAAGTATAAATAATAGAGATTTTAAAAATTTTAACTGGGGGCTGGGGATGTGGCTCAAGCGGTAGCGAGCTCGCCTGGCATGCGTGCCGCCCGGGTTCGATCCTCAGCACCACATACAAACAAAGATGTTGTGTCTGCCGAAAACTAAAAAATAAATATTAAAATTCTTTCTCTTCTCTCTCTCTCTCTCTCTCACACACAAATAAATAAATAAATATTCTAAAAAAAAAAATTTTAACTGAACATTTTTAACTCTTTTTCTTTAAAAAAATTTAATTGCCTAAACAGTTTTAACCACAAAAAGTATATTTCTTTAGTTTTTGGTGCAGGAATTAAAATGATTTTTATAAGGTATATTTTTAGAGAACTTAGGGTTATTGAAAAGTTATGTTCATTATTGTTTGTTTTCTTATTGATGAATTTTTCAAAATTTTCTGCTTCAGCTAAAGGAGCATTATGATAGGTTTAACAGTAACTTAGAAGAAACTTTCATGATATATAGACAGACATAACAGACAATGTAGACATATGCACATACATGTTTGTGTACATATATGTATGTGTTAATTATGCTTATCTGCAAAGTTGTTCAGAAATCCTTTTTTGTTTGAATCTTTGATGTGTTGCTATTAAAAGTTTTTATAGTCTGTTCAACAGCTTTGAAGAATTTACAATAACTTAACAATGGTCTTTTTCATCACTTTTCCTTACACAGTTTTATAAGAGACAATTTTTTTTGTTTGCTTGGGGTTTTTTTTTTTTTTGTTTTGTTTTGTTTTAAGAGAGAGAGAATTTTTTTTAATACTTATTTTTCAGTTTTCGGAGGACACAACATCTTTATTTTTATTTTATGTGGTACTGAGGATCGAACCCAGTGCCCCGCGCATGCCAGGCGCATTACCGCTTGAGCCACATCCCCAGCCAAGACAATTTGTTTTTTAATGTATCTCTGATATTAGCATATTTTCTTATATTTCGATCTTAAGTGTAATTTTTAAAAATTCTGGCTACTTGATTTTGAAATAATATTAGTCTGCTTCACTTAAAGTACAAATGACTGCCCTACGGAAATGTATTTTTGTGGTAAAATTCAGTAAGTGCAATTTAAAAGTAGTAATAATTTTACTACAAAAAAACATTTCTATAGTTTATATTGGAAGATTTAAAATAATTTATAAGATTATATGATGATATAAGGAATATTTAGAGARAGTGATTGAAGAGAGATCTGTAGTAAACTACTATCTTCCTTTTGAATTTGTATATACTGAGGGAACTGATATCTTGTTAAAGAAAACCTTAAGGCCAGAAATTACATCCTGACCCAGGTGTAGAGAGTCTTAAAACCCAGGCTGATGGGGTCGTCCTTCTCATGGGTATCTGGGAGCATTGGAGGGTTAGATCAGGACCAGGGAAGCAATTGAAAGTTTCTACACCAAGGAATGACATGATCTCAGATGTTCTCCAGAAAGAATAGGGAAACTTGTCATCAGTAGCTTATGGCACTGTGTATATTCATATTTTACCTTAGGTTAAAGTTGGTAACGATAATGATGATGCTTCCATGATGTTTGGTTTATTAGATCTGTCATTAATACCATCCTCTCATTCCTCTCCCTGACAGTCGGATATGTTACGGTCGCTATCAAATACAAAACCTACAGTCAATGAACATGACTTGTTGAAGTTAAAGAAGTTTACAGAAGATTTCGGCCAAGAAGGCTAAACCAAAGACAACAAGGAAGATGTTTACCATATGTATTCTTTCTTTCATAGATACTTTTGCCTTTCTTGGGTGGCATCAGATTATTTCCAGTTAAGCTCTTGTACTACAGGGAAATATACATCTCACTTCAGATTCCTTTAAGTTTTATACTATACTTTCCTCCATTACTTATTAAATACTCCAACTAACAAAAATTGTAAAATAATGCATTTATAAGGAAATGAGTAAAATGTAAATTGGCATGAAACTAGAAATTCCCCGTTAAAAAGAATATTGAACATTGATTGACACAAATATTTAGAATTTTTTATGAGTGGTGGACTTAGCAAAGAACGTTTGACTTTTTTTTAATAAAATGAAATAGGGCTTTATATTTTGAAAATAAATTGTTGAACATTCTTATCAATGTAAAATTTACTTCATTAAAAAATTTTAAATAATAGAAACTTTACTCTCAGGGATGGGCAATAAAACAATAAAGAGTACTGTGGTTGGTTTAGAAAGATTTTGAATTGTGTTATAGCCAGTGTTCTTATTGATTTTAATAGGTTGATTTTTTTTTTCTGTATAGATTAAAGTAATTTCTTTAAAGGAAGCAAGCTTTTGTATTTAACTAAATGATACCTTTCRCTATGCTTTCTCAAGAGAAAGACTTTCTAAATTAGGCATTGTCTTTACCTTGAAGAATAAAATTGTCAATCCCATTATCTTTTTGTAGCAAGATTGACCAAAACAGGTGGTAAATAAGTATGAATTTTTAAAATTACTGTCATGAAATACTGTAATGGGAATCTTTACCAATAAGAAAGTGGCCTCCCTTTGGATTATGGGAAGTTTCCTGTGTGTGATRTGGGTGTGTACATATATATGTATATATATATAAATTTTTTAAAAAATATAAAGTAACAGGGGTCTTGTCTTTCATCCTTTAAGTTCAGGAAACAGTTTTTCCTGGAAAGATATATGTTATCAGTATAACACTTATGAACCTTTAGAAATGAACTGATGTTCATATAATAAAATATAAACATGATAATAATGTTTTTCCATCATCTTCAAATAAATATTCTGAAGGTATGTGTTACACATTTCAGCATCAACACTAAGTTGTGCCTTGTACATTTGCATTGATCATACATGCAAAAGATTATTAAATTAGCTAGAATGAAGTAGATTCCTTAGTTACTATAAATTCTACCTTGCAAATGCTATATAGTAACTTGCGTTTTAAAGTATTTTTGCACATTTTACATATTATGCTATGGGTTTTACATATTATGCCTTTGGGTTTTCTGTACAGATTGTTTTTGTTGATATTAAATAGAAATCATAGGCCCAAAATACGCTGTTCTTATGTGAAGTAAATTGATGTAATCTCTATTGACTATATTCTGTGTATGCATCTTTATTTGGGGAACTTCTATATAGGAGAAAACATGATCCAAAAAAGGACAGATTGACAGCTAACCATAGGAATTAATCTCCTCTGGAACCCTATAAAATGACAAAATATTTTTAAAAGACAGAAAACCAGAACCACAAAGATAGTTCTTAAACGAAAATACTTCAGAGAGGTGCTGCTCACCCAAACTGCCTCCCTGGTTTGGTGATGCGCTGGCCTCCCACGCACTGCAGGAACCTAAGTCGGAGATCCTGTTTTCTGTATCACTTGGCAGCAAGCATAGGCTCTTGACCTAGCATTGGCATATCAGAGCTATCACGCAGGTTTTTCAATTTTGCACACATAACAAAGAGGACAAGCCATTCAAACTAGGATTGTAGCCAACAGCAGCAGCTAGTGGTAATCTGGTAAATTGCAAGACAGCTAATAACACTAGTGTCAGGGAATCAAGTGTACAGTGAGGACAAAGCAAAAGCATGAGAACTTCAAGGACAGCTGGTTGGGATCAAGGTGCAGGGGTGGAACCCCAGGGATTTTATATAACTGCTAAAAAACCTTCCTTGCAGCCACCGTGCTAAAATCATCAAAAGCCAAACAGTATTTTGCCCTGAGGGTTGCCAAATTACATCAGTTGAATTCACAGATCTACCAAGTTTTTATGTGAAAGCAGGAAAAATGAGTAGGAAAAGAGCAAGACTTTAGTACTGGAATATATGTTTGTGAGATTTTGGAAGATGTGTGAGAACAGATTATGTTGGCACACAGAATCTGAGTTTCAAATTTCAGATAAATTTGAATATACCAATATAGGCTCAATCAATGAAAGAGCGGTTTTAATTGTTGGCTTGACTGGCTGAAGAAACTGAACCTGACAGTGGACACTCTACCAATATAAGTGTTCGATATATTCAGGAAATAGAAATGCTGGAGCAGATTTATCATGGGAGAGTCACCCACAAAGTGACAGTGTTCCTGGAGAAGACCACAACCCAGTCTCTTTACCAAGGCTTTTGACGGGTGAAAGGAACAGAAAYAATAATGTCTGGCAAAAAACTGATGAGTATAAGAAGACATGCAGGTAACTCCAATTATTGTGGTTCATATCACTGCATTACAAGACATCCCAAAACTTTAGGTTTAAAGTAACAATTATTTTCTGTCAGTTTCTGTGGATTGGGATTTAGGAAGGGCTGGGCTGGGCAGTTCTAGTTAGGAGTCCCTTGCCAGTTGCATTCAGACACTGGCAGGAGCTGGAATAGCAGGGGCCAAGCTTCTGGGAGCTGGTAGCCCAGCTCAAGGCCTCTTGGAGTGATTTCTCCCCATGGATGAGCTTGGGCTTCCACACAGCATGGTGACCTCAGGGCAGTCAGGCTGCTGTCTCGTGGCTGTGACAATTGTACAGGAGCAAGTGTGCCAGGCAGCAAAGCCAAGCTGTTACCACCCCCTGTGAGCTAGCCTCACAAAGTCACATAATGTCACTTCTGCTGAAGCCTGTTGGTTAAAATAATCACAGAATCCCACCCAATTTGAAGGGAAGAGGACAAGGGTCCCACTGGACCCTGGGAGGAATGTCAAGATGACATTGGAAGAGCATGTGAGTTGGAAGATAGGGATGTGCTTCCCAGTGAGATGCAACATGAAATACATTTCATGAAGTTCTCTTACCAAAAATGTGTAATCTGTGTCTAATCAAGCAGTAGTCCTAATTGTTGRGTTACAGAAAATGCTGGGGAGAGAAAAATCTATAGCACCACAAGGAAGCAATCAGACAAAAGAGAACAGGTCATTCTAGAAAATGACTGGCCTGGTTTATAGAAAACGCCAATGTCATTAGGAGAAGAAAAGCTTGAGGTACTCTTCTACTCACCTAGATTAAATGAAATTGAAGATAATAACAGGATATTTGAACCTTGATTAAATCCTAGTTTGGAAAAAATGGTAAAAGAATTTTGGTGCAAGTGAAAAAATATGAATATGGACTGATACAATATTATGGAATTGTTCTGAACTGTCTTGGACATGATAATAGCATTGATTGTGTTGGTTGGGCTGTGCCCTTAATTTAGGAGATCCATGCTGAAGTATGCACTTAAGGAATTAATTGCCATGCTAAGATTGTTCTCACCTTACTTAGAAATTATTCARCAAAAAGTATGCACACACATACTCACACAAAGCAAATGTGGTTAAATAAGAATGAAGGATGGTCTGGGGTTGTGGCTTAGTGTAGTGAACTTGCTTCGTATGCCTGGGGCACTGGGTTT